GCACTGGCTGCGATTAAATAACGGGCTATGAGGTTTATTAGTGGACCCTACATTACTCAATTTTCCCCAAAGGAACTAAATGAAGCTGCAGAAAAGGTTAAACGCCGTATGTTTCTTCCTCCAAAAAACGAGTACAAAACATTAATCAAATTAAACTACTTACAATGAATTAAGTAACTATTTTCCCGTGATTTTATGGTATACAGCGACGAAGGCCTATTTGAGAGGTTTTGACTGAAGGCAATAATGCGCAACGCAAGGAATGAAGACACCTGAACGCGAACCCTCTAAGCTATGCCAAGCCGCTAAAATGACAAATTTCTTCAATGGACGAAGGTACTTCCTACGTAAATCTCTCGCAAGGAAACCAGAAGAAAAGGAACGCGACTTTCAGCAACGCTCGGTAGGTTGATTCACTCGGGCAATAGTTTACAGCAATTTATAGGCAACATAAGTTTATTTTCCACTTAAGTAAATACCCTTAGCATGTTTTACCAGTTAATGGACAGAAAAGAAGTTGTCCGTTAGAATGAATTATGAAAAACTTAAACGTAGTTCAGTTCTTAGTTGGTTAGAGTAGTTTAATTCCAGGTACACCCCTCGTAATTCTGGTCTACTGCTCGGAACATTCGAATAATTTTGAATATAATTTAGTAATTGTTTAATTTACTCGAAGTCATCGACTAATACCCCATTCTATCTCTGTTTTTGTCAGTAGAAGCTTCTCGATCATTAACTGCTGCAGCACAAGAATCCGACCACGTGTTAGCTTCAAAATCAACGTATCTATGTACAACTAAGGTCGCATTCACTTGTTGCTATAATCATCAGAAATTCTTGCTAATTATTGGAATTTGTGTGAAAAATAATAATTTCAAAGGCATGAACCTATATACCCCAAATTTATTTAACTGAAGTGGAAATTGTTGCCGGGCGACTGCCTACTGAAATGCATATACATAGTAGGCATCATCGACCGAGCTTGCGTCCCATCATAGTGACGCTGTCTTGACTCCGAGCCTTGGAAGTTTAGGCAGGACAGGATACGATAGATGCTGCACATACCCTCCACCGTCCCTGCGCCCGTCATACAATGGATCCTACGGGGACAATGTCTAAAACGACAACCAAACCTTCCTGCACGGATTGAAATATGATCAACTTGAGTCCTTATAATGAGAGTGGCAACCTTGGATTATAAGAGCAGCGGTCGACAAGAGGTCCCTTGATAAAACTGCAGCTAAATCCAGTTTCATGAAGTTACCTTTACCCAGGAAGCCTACTGTGGACTAGCTTGGACCTCGAGTGAGCTTTATCTCATAGGCGCAACGCACAAGGTTGGAAAACTTGAAAATATCCAAATGATAAAATCAAAGGAATTATCCTTTATTTCAATGAAGTGCCTCTTCAAAGACCAAATAAGGTGGGAAGATCTTTATGAAAACGCGTGCTTGATAAAAAATGTCAAAATTCGCTGATGATGAGTCACATGTTCGAGGGAGTGAGGTAAGTTCAGGAAGTACTGGCGGCCGAATCAGGTGCTTCGATCAGCAGTTTGCGCGGACATCTAATCCGCGTCACTGTTCCCCTGAAGAAGACAAGAAGGTGGAAAATTTAAGCGCAATTAATTACGTAGCGTACAGTAAAGAAATACTCGAGAACGACGGACCCGAGCTGTGGTTTTATTAAGACTAGCATGATAAGTAATTGCGTTGACCGCGTAGATATTCTGATGGTCTTAGTCGCCAAGGTTTATTAAAAACGTCAGTCCCATTAATCTCACTAGTAAGTTTTCTGTGAGAGAAGTGCTCAGGGTAAAACTATTCGGTTTTGATTGAAACATCTGACATAACTATTTGAGCGAGTTCTCGCCTCCTTCGGTATAATACTCCCACTGTATCGACGGGCAGCCATTGGCATACAAAATGTGCAGTTGAATTTATTTTGCTTAATCTCGGCACGGCTACCAGCTTAAAGTCCGGACAAAAATCAATTTTTGTAGATGAAATTTCGGGAGAGGTCTTCAGCTGCTTCGTCTCATCATCATCATCATCATCATCATCATCATCATCATCATCATCATCAT